AAGGTGAATTAACACGAAATAAAACGGAACGATTTCGCCTCGACTGACTTGTCTGGAATTCGAAATGCAGAATTCTGCATTATGTGTCAGTTATCAAAGCAGTTGTTGTCGTTGTTTTTGTTGTCTCTGATTTGACAAGGCACGCGAACTGCAGCAGGCAGCCGGGACTCTTGGCTGGATTTTGTTACGGAAATATGCCAACACCTTCCTCTGCTCACTTTTGTTTTAGCCGTCGCAAAGTTTTATTTTTTTTCTTTTCAAATCTTTTGAAAGTGCCCGGGATCCTTGTTTGTTGTGTGCCCGGCGCTTAAGAACGTTTTTGCCGAGTTGCTTTTCATCACTGGCAAAAGCAAGTTTTTCTCTTTCCTTTTCTCACTGCGCTTCTGCTATTACTTTTTGCACTTCTTCCTTGGCGTAAATTGAGCATCAAGATGAAAGCTAGAAGGAAAAGTTATGCCATAAGTAGCTTAAGTTCAGTTCACCTGGGACTTTTCCCTTTGCTCTGAGTGTTGCATAATGTTGAGACAATGAGAGAGCTGGGTTTTAGTGCAATCTGCCGAACTAGACAGTCTACAGAACTCAATAGGCTTAATATATAGTAGGTAGTCCTACGTCATAGATTAGTTAGTTCATGAGATATGCTTAAAATACGAACTGGAATTAATTAATATTTACTGAAAGCTTTAACATTCGTATATTTCTCACATACTTGATCAATCAGCTAATATACCCTCCTCGAATTATTCGTCCTTTGAGTGTGTGGGAAATTGCTTTTAACTATTTGCTAAACTATTTGCTATTTGAGCTGTTGTCGTCACACTCATGACATTCATTAGGGAACGCTGCTTTGACCTATATACGTCTTGTCCTATGACATATAGCTACCTCCTGGCCCTCTCCGATATCTGACCCGATTGTGTGGCTCGTTCATGTTCAACATGCAGTTGGCATTTGATGATGAGCAAAGTTTTAGCATTTGCTTTAATCAAAGTTTTGTGACGCAGCGCACAAAACTTTGCATTGAATAAGTTTTCCATTAAACATTCAGGGAAACAAGCGTAATTCATGTTTATTTATATTTATTCATGTTCTACAATATTTACGTTGTGGTTGTTAAGCAACCAGCTCAACTCCAACTGCGCCATGAATATGAAATGTACAGCAAAAGCCGAACTGAACTTTAACTGCAGCATTTGCTGCAATCCAAACGTTTAGCCATTTGCAATTCCATGAAAAATGTGTTAACGCTTTTCCGAAGCATTTTTCAGTTAACCCAAAATCTCGGGGGCTGATGATACCAAATGCCAACGAGCAAACAAGCGAACGGCGGTCAGCCTTGTGGGAGACCCCAAAACTCAGTTCAGCTCAACAACCTGCAGGCAGGACAAGCAGTAAACAGATTGCTGCACAGTGGTCACAAAATGGAAAAAATTAACTTAATTATGACAGAGAGAGATAGGAGATGGGTGACTCAAGATAGGATAGGATATTAGGAATGAGATAGGAGATAGGAGAAAGGAGATAGGAGATAGGAGATAGGAGATAGGAGATGGGTGAATCAAGATAGGATAGGACATTAGGTATAGGAGATAGGAGATAGGAGATAGGAGATAGGAGATAGGAGATAGGAGATAGGAGATAGGAGATAGGAGATAGGAGATAGGAGATAGGAGATAGGAGATAGGAGATAGGAGATAGGAGATAGGAGATAGGAGATAGGAGATAGGAGATAGGCCTTAGGAGATAGGAGATTTAAGATGGGAGAGAGTAGAGAGGCCATAAGAGGAGGAAGAAAGCAAAGGACAGGGTTATGGGACATCGGAGTTAGAAGGAGAACATAGCAGATGGGTAATATGGCTGAAAACTAAGATCTAAGAAGTAAGATTTGATATATTAAGATTATTATCAAGCATTAGGCCAATTTTTTTATATTTTCGTTTTTACCATTTCTCTTATTCCATTGTGTTTCCGTCTTCGCTTGTTCAACTTTTGAAGTGTTTTTTTCCTCATACTATCCACTGTTTCGACCCGATTGAACCACTGTCTGGGCCACTTGAAGCACACACACAGAGAGAGAGAGAGAGAGAGAAAGAAAGAAAGAGAGACAAACATTGAATGTCGTCGCCTTGGGGCTAGCACAACCGCATGCGTTTCCCTTGCTGCAGCTGCTCCTCTACCGAACTGTCCCCTCTGCAGCTGCAATGTGTCTTCATAGCCTCGTTGCCAAACTCGAATAATTCAGGCAGGACTCGTTGCATACTTTTGTGCGCAAATGTTTACACAGCTCACAGCAGCGCGTCCTTCGTACGGTTTGGGTAACAAGATGCAGGCAGCTATATACATGTATATCTATAAATATAAGTATATATACATATACATATATATAACTGTGTGTTGGTGGATGTGCTGTTTAGCTGGCCCACATCTGTCCGGGCAAGCGGTATGTGCATATTTATATAAATGTACAAACGTATGTCCTGGCAGCTTTTGTCGCTCCATTTCGCTTAGAGTCCAGCACAAGGAGCAGTAGCTGGAGCCGTAGCATATGAGTCATCATTGTTCAGCCTCAGCAACGGCCTCATTTACATGGAGCGGAGGTTACTCGAAATTGAATTCCACTTTGGACAAGCAGATTGGCTGCTATCCTGGCTAGCTGTCCTCTGTCCTGTCATCTAGGGTGTTGTGTTCGCCTCACCAAATTTGGTATATATAAATAGGATAGCAGCGGCATTTGAATGTGAAGTGGAATCCTGCCTTTAAATGTCCTTGTATTTCGTTACTCATCTTACTCGCACTACTCACACTTCTGTCACATGTTATTTCCGCCACGTTTGACTGTGCCGTGCTGTCTATCTTGACTCCAGCCTCCGCCATCCTGAATGCGTCATCACGTTCGGGTCTCACTCATCTGCTGCAAATTTGAAACTGATGAGCAGCGGCACAGTGGTTTGACAGTACGTTAAATGGCATTAGAATGGGACTGCATGGCAATATGAACCTGACAATATGAGAATCGCATAGAGAGGCAACATTTAAGAAAGAGAATAAGCAAAGATGTAAGAAAGAAAATGAGTGGGACGCAAAGTAAGATATATAGAGATATCTTTACTATGAATATTTGAGAATCGCTTAGAGAGGCAAGACTACAGAATGCATAAGAGAGTGAAAGAGAGGATGTTATAAAAAGCATATAAATTGCATCGCACACCCACTGTGGCACGGGCTTCAAATTGTCGCTGACGGCCGGGAAACATGAGTTATGTTCGCACACTCATTCAGCAGGATAATATCCTGCTACTCTGCCTGATGTGTGAATCAAAAAAAAAAGTAGCAACAACTCGAACAACATAATAAATGACAGACACTTTGGGGCGACAACTGCTGCGTTGCTGCACAAAGGGTGCAGCAGTCCCAAACGGCCCGAACAAACTGCAGTCGGAAGGGAGCTAGAGTCAGATAGAGACAGAGACAGTTAGAGAAAGAGAGAGAGAGCAATACACAGCATCCAATTGGACTTCATTTCCCATTTCTCTAAAGCGCTTCGATTAATTGGTATTGCAAAGAGGATTACAAATGATTTAATAAAATTTGCTTATCAACGCGCTTTGTAGTCTCTTTTTTTTTGTTAGTAGGTAAAAGGATCATGAATGTAGAAGAGAATTGAGGGACTGAAAGGATTGTCGCTGCTTTGGATTGCTCACTTGCACTTCCGCTGGCAACTGGGGAGATTGCCTCCGCCAGACAGACGCTGCGGTTGCTGCTGCCTCCTGACAATGGAATATGTAATAAAAAAAAAATAGTATAAAAAAAATATAAGCATTGTTGGCGGGATAACGGCAGACAGCAACGGAAGTGGGTTAGAGGGTGGGCCTGGAGGTCCTGGTTAGGGGCTGGCAGCTGTTGTTGGCCTGGCTGCTCCTTTTGCCAATCGCTTTGGCATTCGCGTTGCGGCTGATGTTTATGGCACAGCAAGAGTGTTCGACCGACAGGCAAAAGTGCTCGACTAACAAATACCCTTACCTAACCAAGAGGAAGGAAAGAGATATTCTTTAAGGAGGTATACTTCAGTTTTTTTGAGCATATCTGCTTATGAGACAGACGGATGGACAGACGGAGATATGGAACGATAGATGTACTTACGTACGAACGCAAGGGCAGACAAATATTCTGATGGATGGCTCAACAAATAGAGGGATATGTCTAGATTGACTGTCTGATTCCTGATATAGATCATATAAATTCTGTAGGGACTTCTCTGCGCCTTCTACCTGCCTGTTACATACACTCTAACAAAGCCAATATGCCCCCACTAATCATTTTCAATGGGTTCAGCAGCGTATTATAAAAAAAAGAGCTGATGATGTTCGGGACGCGACGCGACGATGCTTTGTCGCTTGCTCTGCCATCCTTTGCCAGCTGATGACCCAGTTATGTGGCTCTAAGCATTATTATTTATGCGTTAATTAAATATTCCGTATACACATGTTTCTAAGCACCCACAGCATGTTTACAGGGCGCATATTAAGTTGTAAGCGGGACATCTCTCTCTCTCTTCAACTGCTACCATAAAGTACATTACGCACATAAATAGATATATAGCTACATATGTGTGTGTGTGTATGTGTGTGGACTAGTTCATAAAATAATTCAATTTATGAGAGTTCTGTGTCCTAGAATTGCGTGGCTATATTTATTTTACTGCCATAATCATCTAAATAATGTTTAGGGATTAAAGCTGAGAGAAAGTTAGAAGTCAGAAGTAGAATATAAGACATTAAAGCTAAAAATGGCGAAGCACAAAAAACGGGTCTTTAAATAAGAAACCTATAGATACAAATTGGAATAGCAGCTCTGCTTATAGTCAGGGTAGCTCCTGGTCGGGTTCTCCCGGCATCATTTGAGCTAAAATTCACTTAAATCATTTATCAAATAGACTTGACTGCGTTTTCATGTCAGTACAAGCTAATACTGATATACTTTATATTTTAATATCATTCCAGAGTTGATCTCAATTAGTTGAAACATGATGGAGCTGGAGCCTCGCGTGGCTATATTGCAGGATCTGCGGCTACAGACCTTCGACTCGATACGCTTTGCCTCGTATCGCACAGCATCCAAGTTGCGCTATATACAGAAATCGACAAATCTACATTTGGTGGATATATGGAACGTGATCGAGGCATTTCGAGAGAATGGGCTGAACACACTGGAGCCGCAAAGTGATGTGAGCGTAGCTCGACTAGAGACCTTGGTCTCATCGCTCTATCACAATTTGAACAAGCGTTTGCCAACGGCACAGCAGGTGCCAGTGGACTCAAAGGCCGGTCTCTTGCTCAATTGGCTGCTGGCTGCCTATAGCAGGTGAGCGAATGGAGTCACGAGAAGTAGAATCCTAAGCTAATCTCTTTTCTAATCTCTTGCAGCGATAACTCTGGCAAAATACGCGTTTTTTCCATTAAAGTAGCGCTGGCTACCATGTGCTCGGGCAAGCTGGTGGATAAGCTTAGATGTGAGTAGCTCTTGGTTTTATGCAGACATAAGACTTCAGTTCACACATTTTATCTGTCGTTTAGATATCTTCTCACAGATTTCGGATGGCGCTGGCCAGCTGGTTGCCTGGAAGCTGGGCGAGTTTTTGCGTGAAGTTTTAGCTTTGCCTGCGGCTGTTTATGAATCACCGACATTTCATTACAAGGATGGGCTGGAGGAGGAGATCTTTCCGGCTGAGAATAAGGTCACCGTGAATGATTTCATGGCAACACTTATGTCCGAACCGGGTCCATCGTGTCTCGTTTGGTTGCCGCTGTTGCATCGGCTGGCAACCGTTGAGACAATTGTGCATCCGACGATCTGTTCTGTTTGCCATAAGGAAAACTTTACCGGATTCCGTTATCGTTGTCAGCGGTGCCACGCCTACCAATTGTGCCAGGAGTGCTTTTGGCATGGCAAGACATCGCTGAACCATCAAAACGATCACGAGGTGAAAGAGTACTCGAGCTATAAGTCGCCAAGCAAACAGATCGGACACTCGTTGCGCAAAAGTTTTCGCTGTGTGCCCGAGAAGACGACGCAAGTGTTGCCACGATTCCCCGACCAGCCCGAAAAGACACTCAATCTATCGCACATTGTGCCCCCTTCGCCGTTGCCCTCACACAATGGCTTCTCCGATCCGGCGTTGGGTCATTTACATGGACCCGGTCCCGGACCGGGCCATCATCCCGGCATCTTTGATCGTTCCAGCACGCTGGATTCACGTGCCACCGGTCGTAGTCTGGATACGACAATGTCACGGGTGGCCGCTGCCTCGGCCAACGATGAGGAACATCGTCTAATTGCACGCTATGCAGCGCGTTTAGCACAGGAGAATCGAGCGGTGAGTTCCAATAGACTCATCAACTGGATTCATCTTAAAGCAAGTCATTGATCTTTTTAGCCCTCGAATATGCCGAATGCGGAGAGCATTACACCCATTGGCACAGATAATTCGCGTGCACAGCGCGAACTGATCGCGCAGCTGGAATCGAAGAATAAGGAGATAATGCGTGAAATCGCGCGCCTGCGTCGACAGCAGGAGACTGAGCAAATGGCACCGGAGAATCCAGCGCTGATCAATGAGCTGCGCGCGCTGAGGCAGCGCAAGGGCGAGCTGGAGGGGCATTTGGGCGCATTGCAGGATTCGCGGCGACAGTTGATGGAACAGCTGGAGGGTCTGATGCGTATGCTCAAGAATCAACAGACTGCCTCGCCACGCTCCACGCCCAATTCGAGCCCACGTTCGGGCAAATCGCCACCGATGCCTGGCGGTGGAGCGGCAGGTGCGTCCACAGCAGCTGCTGGTGGTGGCGCCATGAGCGCCTTGCATGCTCAACAGCTGCAGCAGCTGCAACAGCATCCAATGCTGCGTTCCACACAGCAACAGCTACTGCAACAGCAGCAACAACAGCAGCAGCAACAAAATCAATCTTCCGCCAGCTTCAGTCAGAGCCAAATGGAGCAGCTCAATCAGATCAGCAGCGATATGCGCAGCGCCTTTGCCGCCAATGGCAGTGCAAGTGAGTATTTAGTCCTTAAGGGGTTTCAGGGCTTACCTTGACTCTATTTGGATTTGGATATTGGATCTTGGGTTCTTCTTTAACTCGTTTAGGTTGGCTGCATAATGAACACAGTTGATTCTTAGGCTACATTCAGCGCTATCTCTCTCTGTCTCTGTCTCTCATACACGCAATATATAAAAACACTTAACTCCACTTTATGATACACAATGAATCAATCGCTGTCTCACAGTTACCACACACACCCACACATATAGCCACTGATCCACTAAACCACTGTCTCGAAACACTCTTCACCTTGCAGCTGCTGACGTGTCACGAGTTTGCAATCGTGCTCGATTTTTGTAATTCGATATATTTTTTCTACATAGAATTGTTATCGATAAATTGTAATACTTTATAAGGCAAGATTATGCGATCGATAAGAATAGAAAAATGTATTGACTCGTCTCGATAAATGAGAGAAAAATCGATACACTTATATATGTCAATCATCGATATAAAACATATCGATAACTTATATTTACGCTTTCTGGCAATAAATATTCAAAATTTGTAGACTCAATTCTATTAGCGTTTATTCTCGCTATATCGATATGCATTACTTGCATTATATTATATATATATATCATATATCGATAACATTTAGATATGATATAGGACAAAATAAACGTTTAACACTATGATATAATCAAACATATCGATATTTGTAGCGAACACTGTATTTCGATAACACATAAATAACTTATCGATAGCACTTCATCTTGCTTATAAAGTATATGGTAAAAAGATTTGTATATATATCGATATCAATTGAAAACATAAAATATCGATAGCACTTAATGGCGGTTCGTGACTCAACGGCTACTGCTGTAAAGAACACACGATTATAGTTCACCCTTTATCAAATATGTCTACAAATGTCTCTCGCTTTATATATATACACACATATATATATGTATGCATACGATATATATATATATATATATATTGTATGGCTTCACAGCCCCGTCGCCCATATTGAATGCCAATCCAAATGCCGATGCGGAGCTGAATGAAGCTGCCGACAACATAACATCGGCCATTTCAACGATGGTCAGCGATCTAAATGCAGGTAATTCTGAGCAGTTCCCAAAGCCAAAGAAATACAAATTCCCCAATTCGAAAAGCAAAAGTCGAAATTCGAAAAGTCCTCAAATGAAAGCTCGAAACACCCATGCGCTCTTGCTTCCTCTTGCTCTGCTACTGCGGCTGCTGCTAGTTGCTTGATTTATATATATGATATAGCATATATAGCTTATACATATCTAGTTTTTGCACCTGCAATTTGCACCTGGCTTTTAGAGCTGTTTTTCTTTCTTTTTCACACTGCATTTTGGCTCGAGCACCCAGGCTTTTAGGCACTGATTGAATGTTCTCTTTCTCTGTCTCACACACACCCACTCTCTCTCCCTCTCTTTCTTTATCTTCCTCTATCTCTCTCTGTGTGCTTTGCTGTGTGTTCTCCGTGTGTTGCTCTCTTTTGTATTTGTCCTTGCTCCACTGCTCCAGGACAATCGAACAGCGTCGTCGGCGCCTTGCCGCAAACGCGTTTCATTTTGCCTTTGGGTAAGTGCTCCAAAAATCCGACGTCGACTCCGAATTTCGTGTACAGCGTTGCCACCCAGTTATCTCGCCTTGTTTTTCAAATTTACTTTTTTTTATTTTTCCATATTTTTTGTATATTTTTTTAGATTATTTCCCCAATAGACGGCATAAGAAAAAATGCTGCAAATGTTGAGTTGAGTTTTTCTTTTCAATTTTGATTTTATTCTATATACATATAACTCCTATCGTAAAAACCCCAATTTGAAGAATATCGCCACATCGAAGGTCGCGAATCGGCAAATTCGTCCAACAGTTGCGATTGCGATTGTCAGAGTTACGAGCAGATTTTTGGCAACGATCGCGGGGATGTCGAATGTGAGGGCGCTGCCTCTGCGTTGACCACGCCCCTTTATACAGATCCCTTCGATGGGGATGCTGACTTTGAGGAGCAATTTGAGTTGAATCGTCTACTCGCCTATCGCCATCATCCCGAATTGTTCATCGACGATCACGAGGCGGGATTTCCGGCCCTCCACGAGATCGGTGAGACAATCGATGAGCTGCAATTGATAATGCACGCTTACATTATGAAATATAGTTTGAATATATAAAAGAAAACGATTCTTCAGGTAATATATATATACCTATATATAATATGTATATATGTATCTAATGATATGCTATGTAATCGTATATCATATACTTATCTTATGCCTCGTTAGTTTTTCCGTTCATTTTGATTGTAGTTTTCACCTGCTTCCAACTTTTTGGATTTACAAATGGAGTTTTTTCTATATAATATCTGAATCATTCATTGCGATATAGCAGGAACAGTGCAGTAGTCGGTAAGGGGGGCTATTATGGCTAGGTTATTGTAATATATGATATAAACACATCTTATCTTGGATCTGTTAAATGAAAGTTATAAATCATTTAAGAAAAGTAATAAAGGTTTGGCTAAGCGCCTTTAAAGTATATATATATATATTTTTGATTAGCTCGATGAGCTGAGTAGATAAAGTCATGTCTTCCTCTCTTCGTTTAGTTATTTGTCTGTTTATCTGTCTGCTTCATATGAACCAGGAAGTTAACCTTGTCTTAAAATATATATATCTGGCATAACTCACACAGTTCCAGCTGCATATTTGACTTTTTTAAGCTTGGGTAACATAAAAATAAATCTTTACGAATGATTATGAATCATTTTGTGATAAAAACATAGTTGATAAATATATCTGATTTTAGAGACTAATAAAAATATATCTCCTTCATTTAGTAGAGACTTGAGCAAATGACGTATATTGAGTATATTTACATGTCAAAAGAATGCATCAATAACTGCATCAATATATATATAACTACAACTGAATTTATTGAAAATTTAAATTGATAGTAAAAGCTACATTCCGGGTATCTGCTAGTCGGACACTTTCGACTAAGGGCCCCCCTTTGACTACGCCGCTGCCTACCTTGTCTTTCGACTAGCCTTCATGTTGCACTCAAGTCGTTTCATAAATATACTGTCTATATATAAGCATACCTGAAGTTTAGCTTGCATTCGTCTACATCAAGACCTTCTCTCTCTCGCGTTCACTTCCCTCTCCCTCTATCTCTCTCTGTCTTCTCCATTCTCTCGCTCTCTCGTCTGTTCATTTGACATTCCACTCTCCACTCGAATCAGTCCATTTGTCATTTGAACATTGTGGCACATATCAGTGTTTCACTGTATTTAGCTCAAATATCGAAAACATTTATATATCTATATAGAATAAACAGAAAATGTGCTAAAAGGTTGTTTAGCCTAGGCTTAGTTTTTGGAATATATATAACTGATTCTTATGCAATTTGCAAACAATTTCAGATTTCGATGAGAACCAAACATATAATCCCGAATGGAATGAAAAGGTAAAGGATTTCGATATAGAAATCCTGCTAGCAACAGTTTCTTCTTTGTTTACATATATATATATATCTTTTTTTGTTTCTACATGCACCCAAAAAATATTAATATTGATGTCTGTAGCTTGTGTAACAGTTTATATATATAAAGTCTATATATATAATTTTATTTTCACTTTCTTTTGTATTTTGGTATTGCATGCTAAACACTTAGACTTGTGGGTAGCTATATAATTCTTGATACATATAGTTTATAATCTTTTTGTATACCCTGAACCCATTGATAATGGAAATTCTTATTCATTTACATATGGTTGAGCACGACGATGAGCCAAGTCGATCAAGCCATATCCGTCCGTGTATAGTGTATTTTAAATACGCAAATATGGATGTCATTATCACATTCTAAGAAAAGTTATTAGAAAAAAAAATTTCCCATAGTAAAACCCATTAACGCTGTAAGCGGAATGTGTGCAATAACAGCTCCACACAGGGTTAAGGGTATCTCCTAGTCGAGCACTCCCGACTAGAGCGCATTAACTTGTTTTTATGAACATTTTCTAATTCAATATTTTTTGCTATTCTTTCAGGCAAATGCGAATAGCCAATGGCAGGAGCAATTTGCACAATGGAGTCTCAATTCACAAAATAACTAAATGGATAACTGGGCATATATATATACATATAAGTATATACAGGCTCTCGCTTAGCTTTTTAAAACACAACTTAAAACTTATGTTTGATCTAGAGCAATTTATTTATTGACTAACTTAGTCTATATACTATCTTAATATAATTTATGAAAGTGGCGTGCATATATATTTATATATATATACCTCTTAAATACGTACATTTGAAGTCTCTTGAATCTCTTGAATCTTTGTTTTATAATTTTTTGTTTTGTTGCCTTTGCTACAGAAATTTTGGATTATGTTAAAAGCGCTTTTTGCACACTTAAAGTTGTGCAAAGTATTGAAACAAATGGAAAATCAAATATAAATACAAATACAAATACTAAATAGAAATTTATGTACTTAGAACTAGAAATTGTTGAGCAAAGAAGAAAAAGAAACAAAAAACTTAAAATCAAATTCTAAATGCTGATTCCTTCAAATTTAATCCCCCTCAAGAAGAAAGGCAGCAGTACAATAAAATATTAAAAACAAACACTTTGATATACGATATAATAATTACATAAAGTATGCAATCTATATCTATATCTATATATATACATCTATGAGCTGGACGAAGTTGAAGAGAAACTAGAGGACTTTCCAAAGTTTATACATTTAATATTTTGGATATATTGTATTTTATGTTATATACATACAAGAAAGCTGAGTTTTATTAAAAAGAAAGGTTAAGGTATCCATTGTTATGTCGATACTATTTAAATTATTATATATCAATTTATATTATGCATTCATATAAACAAAAACAAAAATGTTATTACATATAATCGCAAGGCAAATGAAGAACATAATGAGATGAAAAAAAAAACACAAAATCAGACATTTATAGAAATTATACATAATTAACCAATGAATAATGGAGAATATTACACAGAAAAATGAAAAAAGTAAATAAAAATACATTTTAAACAATTCTAAAATGAACTGTTATAATTTTTAAATTTAAACGACCGCGCCTAAGTTAACATAGTTATCGATAAGCGCAAAACTGTTAACGCAAAAAAAGTAACAGAACCGCAGCGTAGAACAACAGCGACGCAAAATGCTCCAGCAGCCAGTGCTGTAAAGTTGCCTAACAGTAGCTGTTTCTTAACAGCGATTTACCATTTACGCAAGCGCCCGCTACCGCGCGTTAGCATTCGTGTCATTCGTGTCGTGACAGTCGAAGTGTGCAGACGTCTCAAGTGAGCAAGCAGTAGCAATTCGTGTGTGTCTGTTGAAACTTAATTGCAGTTCAAGTAAACTGGGCTTACACATAGACAACAGTGAGAGTGAGTTAAAGAGCGCGCGCGCATACACACACATGCCCGCAGTCAAGTAAAATAAAATAAGAAACCAGCTTAGAGCGAGCTAACAAGTGTGTGCCGATCGTTCAGCATCCGCTCGGTGCCGTGCAACAAAAAGAGAGAAAGCTAACTGTTTTTGTATATATATTTGGGCACGTCTTCAGCGCGTTTTTCTTTAACAGTTAAGAAAAGTTGCTGTGGCCGTTGCAAATTAATAACAAAAGGGTGTGGTGCAAAATATTTTGTGCTTTAAATAACAAGAAAATAGTCAAAAATGTGGCAAGCTGAGCTAATGAAGATCAACAATTTGTGGCATGCACTGTTGCTGCTGCTGCTGGTTGCATGCGCAGAGGCGCAACGAACGCCAACGATTTCGTACATCACACAGGAGCAGATCAAGGATATTGGCGGCACCGTTGAATTCGATTGCTCTGTGCAATATGCCAAAGAATATAATGTGCTCTTCCTTAAGACCGACTCGGATCCAGTTTTCCTTTCGACGGGCTCAACGCTGGTTATTAAAGATTCGCGCTTTTCGCTGCGCTACGATCCAAATTCTTCCACCTATAAGCTACAGATCAAGGACATACAGGAAACCGATGCTGGCACCTACACCTGTCAGGTGGTCATCTCAACGGTGCATAAAGTAAGCGCCAATGTAAAATTATCGGTGCGTCGTCCACCCGTCATCTCCGATAACTCAACACAATCGATTGTGGCCAGCGAGGGCAGCGAGGTGCAAATGGAATGCTATGCAAGCGGTTATCCAACACCGACCATCACATGGCGTCGCGAGAACAATGCCATATTGCCAACGGGTGGGTCTCATTTAATATTTTAATTATTTACTAACACTATTTGTTGACCCCCGCCTCTACATTCCCATTAACAGGCGTTTAACCTAAAGCTGAAAATGTCTGTTTCTTTTGGGGCGCTGTCCTCTCTTACGCTCTTATTCTCCCACTCTTTATGTCATATGCATATGTGTGTGTATGTGTGACCGTGACTCACTCAGACGTCAGCGTTGCGCGTTTGTTTATTGCCAGTTTCTAGACTTTCTTTATTATTGTTTTGCATGTTCTGCGCTTTTTGCTTTTCCCACCTGTACTTAACTACTTTTTATAGTTGTTTTCCCTTGAGTTTCTTATAATTAAAGGTGCATTCGGGCTTTATGCGCTTGCCGAGTCTTTCTGGGCGTTAAGCTTGGCTCAGCTTGAGCTCTCTTACGCTCACACACATGCTGTTTGCGCTCTCTTCGCGCTCTTTAAGTTCGTTGTATGTGTGAATTGTTGTCTTTGCTTTCTTTGGAAATTCCCAACACTTGTAAATTTATGTGGCCCTTTTGTTGTTGCTGCGAAAAGCTAATAAAAATAATAGAATAGCTCAGGTCTTTACCTGCAGCTAGCAAGGTCAATGCTAATCCCTTACAGGTGCGTAATTTATGCTATATTCTACCTGTTCTAAGCACCTTGCGTGCCATAAACGCCGCCGCCGCCGCCGCTGGTTGTGCAGCCATAATTGATTTTTAAGCCCCGCAGCGCGTTTAACAAGATTGCAGCGTCATTTGCTGTATGCAGCAGCAATGGCAGCGACAGCGACGCTAGCAGAAGTATCAATTAGTAGATACTAAGAAATATTGATGGGTAGTCAAAAGCGAAGAAGATGTTTGTATAGAATTTCTTGAGTTTTACAATTAGGCTTAAGCAGCGGCTTAACTGCTGTGCCGTTTCTATAGAACTATGTGTGCACCTGTATATCTATTAAAGGCTTTCAATTATGGTCTTAAAATTTCTAAGATTTTATCAAAAAATATTGTCCAATTTAATTTTCCAAATATTTCAATTTATTTCGAGATATTTAAACTTTTTAATTAAATTGTGATAAGCACAATATTTCCAGAACAATTTTATAGGAATATTAATATTATTAATATATTATTAATATATTAACATTTTTTTTAAATTAAGACCACTTTTGGTGCACTTCAGAAATTGCGAAAATAAATTATGGAAATTTAGTTGTTCATAAAAATAGTAGTGGCTACTAAAAGAGCAGAGAAAAAATCTATTCAACATTAGTCTATATATATATATATAGTATATAGTTATTATATTTAATATTATACTCTCATCAGTCTATATTTAAAATTGCAATTTAGCGCTTTACCAGAAATTATAAAATTATAAAATTCTGATACTTTTTGAACTAACCTCGTATATATAGAAAGCTTGATTTATTCTTCGAACAGATACGCTTAATTTAATAGACCCTATGGCAATCCCATTTCTATGCGCAGCTTGTGCAATCTTTAATTACTTTGGCCTTGATTTGCTTTCTGTTTGGCATCGTCTATCAAAATGCTATCAACTAGATTGTTTGGGTGTGTGTGTGTGTTGGGGCTGTGGCACTTGAAACTGAAAGCTACTTAAGAACGACCTGGGCTGGGGCCTGAAGTGGATTGAAGCTGTGGTTGAGGGTTCGAGCTATGGATTCGGAAAAGGGGCTTGGGCCTGGGACACGCTTCAAAAACTTGCTTCAATGTTAGCCAGGGCAGAACATGCAAACATATATAAATATATATATATGCCTATACAATAAATCAAAGTTAAATGTGCATAGTCCTTGGCCAAGGATCAGCGGCAGCCGTAGTCCTTTGTAAACTTTCACACGATATTTTTTGCGACGCTCTAATTTAAAGCGCTTGGGCAAACAGCAATCGCGCAGCTCAGCTCGGCTTTGAAATGCGCCAACGAGCCGTGCAGCACAAGGTAGGTAAGGGGGGCAGGAAGGGGAGCTGGGACTGCAAAGAGAGTTTTGCTCCCTTGCTGTTGGCACTAGAGAAGCTTTTTATGCAGTCTGTGTACGCATTCGAGGCATTCGACAACTTCAGCACGCGCAATTGCTTCCGCAACTTGAAAACGCGCCGTTTGATGATGCTGGCTGCAGCACAGAGCGGGAGGCAATCCAAAAAAAATGGTGGGCGTGGCAGGCAGCGTTTGAGGTAACATGTGAGCGAGTGCGAGGCAA